TATGTATATATATATATAGAGAGAGAGAGAGGAGCATGCGCGTTTTTAATTTGAAACCGCGCCAAACGCAGTTGATTTATACGAGAGTCTGAGAGAAGAGAAAAAAAAACCCCCGAGAGCCGCGGAAACGCACGTTCCGCGTGTTTCTAAATTCTAATGCGGCTGCAGATTGTTCGGCGGACCGACGGGAATACTTATGGGAACGCCTGTTTCGTTAATGTGCGCGCGCGCGGGCATGTTGGTCGACACCTCGGAGCCGCGATTATCATCTGTCACTGACGTACTGTCGAATAAAGCGTCGAACGGCGAGCGTAAGCGTTCGTTTTATTATTATTTTTTTTTTTTAAACGAAGTCCGGGGCTATCCGTTTCGTAAATACCCGCGTGCTCCAACGCGTCCAACTGGTAAACGGTTAAAATACACAAAAAACAAAAAAAAAACAAAAAACACTCGATGAACCGGCACGCAGGATAACGTGGCGGTAGAGAAAGCCGAGCCCACATCGGCCGTATCGGTCGTTCGCGTGTCGGCGGATTTCGGCGCGAACCCCGCGTCCGCAGCTCGTTTACAGTCGGACGGCCGAAACTCAGCGGGTCCCCGACATAGGACCCCGTCGATCGACTACGCCCGCATCCACGTCCGGCGGATTCGCCGCGCCCGCCGTACACAACCGGGCCCGTGAAAATCCAGCGGCCGGCCAATCTGACGGACATTCAGGACCGTGTCCGTGTACGAATATTGTTGGCTGCCGTCGCCGTCTTCGCGTCGATCCCGCCGACCGTCGCCCGGGTATTTATAGGCTAACCGAAAACCGTACGCTTTTTAACGCGCGTCTCCGTTGAGTTTCGCGTCGCTTTTTTTCACTGCTACGGCAGCGCCGCCTACGCCGATACTCGCGGCGTGCACCGCGCTCGTCGCGGCCGGACCGCCTCGTGAAAAATAGCCCGGGGGAAATACCGATAGTATTTCGTTGCGCCGGTCCCGCGAAATACGCGCCCGCGCCGTTTCGGCCCGTAATTATTCCGAAAGGATACCCCCGACCGGCCCGGTACATTAGGGTCGGTCACTTTTTGATTTTCCCCCCCGGGGTTTCGCACAGTGAACGCGCAGGGAAAACGGAAAAACTGTACGAAACGTGTTATATCGCTAAACCGTATCGTAAATATTAACCTATCCTCAACCTAACCTTACCTTTTAAAACGTCCGTAACCGAACTCCGCCAAATCGAAGATCAATCGTTGCGCGCGGATATCGTATGCGTCGAATTCCCCTTTATAAACCTTATACACCTTCTTTCCGTCTTTTGTCGCTTTTTATTTTGTAACGACGGAGTGGTTATTGTCCGACGATAAACTTTTTTTTACGAACGGCTACGTTACGGTCGAAAATAGTGCGGGGGAAAGAACGCGCGGAAACTGTGATTCGGTAACGCGTTTTTTGTTGGTTTTTTTCAAACGTTTTAATGTTGGCAATCGAAACATGGACGGCAGAACAAATATTATAACCCGATATATTATTGTATCCCGTCTCGGCCCGACCGCGAAATCCCGTCTCGGCCCGACCGCGGTTGTCGGCCCGACGTCGCGGTCCACTCCGCGATATCAGTACATCGACGGCGACACGGCGAAAGGGGCACGCGTATTCGTGTTAAGGACGTACCGGAGAGAAAAAAAAAAAGTGTCCCAATGAAACCATTCCAACCGAAAAACAGTTGTCGCCGATCCGAAAATAGGAAACCAAACGGTTTTCGCCTCTCCCGAAGACGACGGGCTGTGCCGCTCAGACGCTACCGCCGTGTCGCCGTCGAAATTTTTTCACGAAAACCGCGTGACCCGTCGTGCGTGATGTTCGCGCGATTGTGTTCCGTCCCAAGGTGACGCGGCGTGATGTAACATCATAATACGATGAAGCCGCGCGTTCGGCTATCGCGCTGGTGCATCCCGAGAGGTTTGCCGTTGCCGCCGCCGTATAGCACAAGGGCGACTGTAAAAATACACGTAAAACAATAACAATATTTGTGTAGTTATTTTTTTTTTTTTTTTTGTGTTTTTTGCACTCTCTCTCCGCCGAACAAAAGGAGTCGCGGCGTTAATAATATTGCGATCGTTCCGAACAAACACGTCCGGACACGGTCAACAGAGACACACGATATAATATCGCACCCGACCGACCGACGCATGGCGATTACAAGGACGTCGTGTAAATTGCGAACTGCCGCGCGGCCGTCGTAACATTATTAATAGGACCGACCGTTACCGTGCGCCGATTTCTTTTTTATTTATTTGTTTAATGCGGGCCGAAGCCCGAGAGACGCGTGGGTCGAACTACCGAATGTACCCGCGATGCACGGAGTTGTGCCGTCAGGCCCGGCTCGAGCCAGATTTAAACGCGCCTAAGCAAACTGAAGTTTTGCCGCTCCCCTCCTCCCCGTAGCAGTATATAGGTACACGTGAACACTACGTCAACAGTTTTTTAACGTCACCCCCGAAAATTGCCTCCCTAGACGCGGGGCTAGAGAGCGCAGCGCGACTAGAGACGAATCGTCGAGAAAGACGATGGGTCGACGTTGCCGGCGATGCGCACCAGTCGGGTAATCGCGGAGGAGAGGCCGACAAGTGACGTCCGATAGTGGGGACGGGTTGGCGGGTGTGGCGGGGGAGGGAGGGCGCTTTAAAGTCGACTAGAGAAGTAAGGGGCTATATGGAAAGGAAAATCGATTTTACCCGGAAAGGATGTCGGAGAGTCTGCGGTCGGCGAGACCGGGTAGTTTAAGGCAATTTCGGATAGGAGAAGGTTTCGCGGGGAATATTTCAAAATAAATAATCTAATATTGTACGACATGTCGGAAAATAATCGTGTCGATTTGCTTCTCTACCGACGTATCCGACTAGTCGAACTGTCCGATCGGATCGGAAACGAATCTAATTTGGCCGCAGCCAAAAACGCCACCTTAGACGCGGGCCTACCCCTTGAGCCGCGGGCCCGGCTACAATTGGCGACGACAAAGCGGGGGTTGGGTTCGGGAAAAAAGTGTTGACATCGATTCGCAATCGTCTCGCGACGTATTAAACGAACGGTTTAAACATGGGACGCCGTACGCCGGCGGGGGTCCACGATTGATATTTTTGGAGATTTTCGCGGGCGAAAATATGTATTCGTTAAATGTTGTGAAAAATCTGAGTAGGCATTCGAAAAATTCAAAAAAATCGGAAATACCGAATACGTGGAAAATTTAACCGGAAAAAAAAAACCGGAGTGTTCCGCTTAGTGAATCGTCCTGTATATACATGTATATGTATATCGCGTTTCGGCGGTTTTTTTTTTTTTTTTTTTTATCGTAATAATGACAAATCACGGTATTTTTAGATTTAACGCCGCGCGCGGCGTCCGAGTCGGGCGAACCTGTTTGACGACGCGCGCGTTTCGACGACGGAATCAACAATGTTAATTGCAACGTCAGGCGTTTGCCGCGGGGATAAACGATACAAACGCGTTTGCCGGAGACAAACGTCGGCTCTTTGGCGGCTCCGGTCCATCGCGCCTACCCTCACCCCCTCCCCCCCCCCGTCGTCTCGGAGAGAACCAAACGTTTTTCGACATTTGTTTTGTGGACAATTTAAAAAAAAACAAAAAAAAAAAAAAAACAGGCTGCAGCCCTGCGTATTCACGTTCGTGTTAATTCTCGCTAATTTTCAATGGGCGAAAGCACAGTGTCTACGTTTGATTTTCCAATGGCGACCCGTATTAAAAAAAACTCCGAATGAACGGACGCGGTCCAAATGCGTTTCGGCGTTTAAATTTTCAATTTCCGTCGGTCCGTTGAATCCCCGAAACGTGCCCACATTACGCCCGTGCATATTTCGTCGCGTTTATTGTGCAAATGGATGTATTCGACGGAAATCAAACGGGCCTCACGGGGTACCGTTTTCAACCATTTCGGCATAACCGATACGGATACGCCCGGTGCAGGCTGCGCTGTTGAGTCGCACGCGCCGTCGTTTACCGCGGGTTGTAACGCGGGAAACGATAATGGTAAAACGTCAAAAGTCAAAATCGATTGGGGTTTTCTTACCCGCTGTTATATTCGATTGACGCGCCGCCGTCGAAACGCTGCAATTCGGTCCGACGCAATACCGTACGGCGACCACGGACTTTTATTGCGCGGAACGGACGGGAAACAATAGTAAAAAAACCGTTTCAAATATGCGGCGCTTGTCCGCGGAATCCGCGGGTTCGGCGAAACGCGAGACTCCCGACGGTTCTTTTCATTTTTTTTTTTTTTATTCCCCCGAAAATTAATGCGCTTTAAACGTAATAAAACGCGCGCTCACCTGCCCACGGAATACGCTGCGACGAGTTTCCGGCGCACGGGTTATCCGTTTAAACGATACGTTTCAAAACGGTAGTTTTTTTTTTCCGTTCGCGTTCCCATTACCGCCGCCGCGCCGTCGTCTGATACAAACGTAATTTGTTTTCGTAACGCGCAATTTTCATTTGTAACGTTTTCTTGTGCTTTCAGATTCGTGATGAATTTATTGGTCACCAACTTGGCGAGCAGCTGGATACTCGTGCCGTTGATCCTGTGGGACAGGGCCCAGTTTTCCGGCTGGGCGCCCGCGCCGCTGCCCAGCGCCGTGTGGCACGGGCTCACCGGAGCGGTGTACGCGCAGTCCGTGCTCTCGGTGATGACGGTGGCCGTGGATCAGTATTACGCGGTGACCGACCCGCTCCGTTACCACGTCACGGTGAACGCGGCCAGCTGCGCCGTGGCCGTGGCGGTCACGTGGTGCCTGTCCGCGGTGGCCGGCGCCCTGTCGGCCGTCCGCGAGCTGGACATCGCGCCCCGCGTGTACCTGTACGGGTTCCCCGTGGTCTACGTCGGCCTGCTGTACGCCCTGCCGTTCGTCACCGTGTGCTGCGTGTACGTGAAGATATGCACGGCCGCCCACCGGAACAGCGAACGGGCCCGGCGCAACGGGTCCGTGCCCGACCACTTGCAGCAACAACAGCAGCCACTGCAACAGCCGCAACAGCAGCAGCAGCAGCAGCAACCGCTACAACAGCCGCCGCAACAGCAGCAGCAGCCGCCCCAACAGCCGCCGCAGTCGCAGCAACCGCATGCGCTTCCGTACAACAACTGCTGCAACAACAACGTTCAATGCAACAACGGCGTCAACAACAACAACGGCATCAACAACAACATTAACGAGTATAACATAGTTCCTACGATACAAGAAGACGAGGAGGACGAGACCTTGGAAGCCGCTTCCCTTCAGGCGGTCGTCTCCCACGAACCCGAGGCGCAGTCCAAACCGCCTCCGTACCACCAGACCTCCACCCGGGCCAGTCTCAAGAGCACGTCCAGTTCCATTGTAAACCATTTGAGGTGAGCCGCGCTTATTATAAAACACAACGTACGGTAATATCGATTGTTGAACGGGCGTCGTAGGTATAAAACCGCTAAAAGCCGAACAACACGTTTCCGGTGCGCGAACGTTCGGAAAAATCGGCAGCGTAAACCGGTAAAAGCGCCTGTTTCAAACGCCGACGTTTAAATCGGTAATTTTTCGGCCCTTTTAAAACGCGATTGAATCAACACCGCTGCAGATGCGTAAAAAAAATGGCGAGTACACCGGTCTCAACGGACGCATGCATACTTTGTGTGCGCCGAGGTATTGCGTGTGTACGGGTATTGGTTTTATTGTTTTCCGCGATGAACGCGTCATTAAAAACCGTTTCGCGGCTGTTTGTTATTATTTTTTTTGTTTCTTCTGCGAAACAGTTTTCGCGAGAGAACGTGAAATTTCCATAAATACGCGCCGTTGACAGAGCCGCGCCGTCGACGTACTGTTGCGCCTGGTTACGTCCTCGAGCGACGCTGCAGACGGACGTGTACTTAAGGCCGGGCCGCCGGCGCCTCCCACGCCCCTCTGCCCGTCACCTGTCCGTGTTTGGCCGTAACCCGGGGTCGTGTCGCGACATTGCGGGGCGCGTCCGGGACGCCATCGGTGCAGCCGTCTGTTTGTTGTTCGCAGACCCGGAAACTCCCGGCCGACTTTCATTGTATGGATTCCGGTCGAACTGCGCCCGAGTTTCGTCTTGGACCCGGCGGGGTTACAGGACGGCGGCGTGTTTAACGACGTTTGTCGCGTTTTTCGTTTACCTCTACCGCGGAAATCGCGGTCCGATTTTCAAGCGTGTGAAACGTATATCGCTTTTTCCTAGAGGAAATTTCCATAGCGGGCGACTGGCGTATAATATCGGGGAGGCGATTTTCCGAGCGGTTCGAGCGCCAACCCGTCAGAATTCGCGTTTAATATCACGTCGGCGTGTAAAAAAAAAAAAAAAATAATAATAATAATATTAATATTTTATTAATTTTTCGTCGGCCCAAACGATTACGTGACCGGCAGGGTTTATTGTGAAGCGCGCAGACGATGCGCACTTTATAAAAAAATGTTCGCGGAATTGATTTTTTTTTTTTTTTTCTAAATTGTCGTTTCAATACAAACTCTAATAAATATTATTTTTTAATAAGATATGGTAACTACGCGCGGTGAATAATAAGGCGTGTTACTAAACACGTTCAGCTAACTTGACTCGGTACTCTAATATATTATCTTAAAACAACCGTCAATATTAATCGCATCGTACGAATTCGTTTTTATTTCATTGGGTTTTAGGTTATTCGAGTCCGCCGAGTTTAAATATAATTGTAATTCACTTGCTCGTGTTATATAGCTACGAAACCCCATAGCGCTGAAGCGATTTTCTTAAATTCATTTACCGGCAAAGTTCACACGTGGAAACTGAAAATAAATATGTTTTTGTTCACTTTATCATTCCTACTCTTCAAAACCGGGACCCCAATCAGCAATGCCCCAAGTCTAAACCGAAACGAACGCCCCGTCAAAGACACGCCTAAAGCCAATGAACGGTAATCGGTTCAATGCGACTTTCAATGGGACCGGCAATAAGACAATCTGCCGATGAATGGTAAATTAAAAACATTATACACAAAAAAGGAAAACATATCAGATACCATTTTTTTTTTTTTTTTTTTTTTTTATATATACGTAAGGCTGAATTATATCAAATGCGTAGTTGACAAAAATCCTCGGAGTAAGCCCCGCCGTGGCCGTTTAACTGCGCAACGCGAATTGAAATTTTAATTACACGCGCCCGCCCGCGTTTTAATAATCCCGCGGGAAAAACGCGGAAAGATTACGCCGGGTCGGGTGCGCAGCGGGCGATCTGGGCTTTTACGCCGTAAACGAGAAGTACGCGTTGCGGGTTTACGGCGGGTATTACTGCGCGGATCACGTCCGTCGAAAATTACAAGCCGCGGGTGAATCGGGCGGGTGTGACTCCTCCCGCCCCCTTAAACTTGCTACAGCTAGCCACCCCCTCCCCTCCTAAGCCCCCTTGATCGAGCGCTGGTCGCTGCCCGCCCATACTTTCGCGTTCGCCTCGTCGAAATGCGTATTCGTAGTTGCCGTCTGTTATACAGTCAACTCTTCCCGGTCAGTTCGCTGCTGCTCCCGCGTTATTGCCGACCTAAAATGATGTTCTCTACGTCTCGGCCGTTCCCCGGGTGTTCCGTCCGCGTTCTGTTCCCGTTCGGTTTTCCGTCCGATTGTGGCCCGAACGGTCTCCGCGCATGCGACAAGCTCCTTCCCGCACCACCCGACTTGTTCTGCTCCGGCTCCAGTCCGTTAGGCGGGCTGTCCCTCGAAAATACGAACCGAATAATGGACGTCCAGAGGTGTCGTGACGTTTTCAGAATGTCTGTCTGCTTCGGGGGAAAAAAAAAAAAACACGTTTAATCCGGCCCGGAAATCACGACATAATAGTAACCGGTTTTTTTTTTTTTTTTTTATCAATATTTCATCGTTGTATTACGCAGATTTCCCCTTTCCGTAGGTTTTATAGCCGCGATCAAACCGTCACACGAATTCACCGCCCCAAAGTGCACTTGCCGCCAACGGTGTGCCAACAAGTGCGTCAAAAAGAGATGGAGTGAGAGAAAAAAAAAAAAAACGTGAATTATCATTTCATTGCTGTTTTACAGATGTATTTTTACATTTACGGCCGATGGTTTTATTTTCGAATCCGTTTTTGTTTTGTTTTGTTTTGTTTTTTTTTTTATTTTTTTAATATCATTATTAATTCCAGAGAATTTAAATCGTTAATTTTTTTTTATTGCAAATGATTAAAAACAAAACAAAGACGAGCGTAGTTTTTTGTTATTATTTTAAGATTCGGAATGCACGGCGCAGTCGTCAAGTTTTATTAGAGAGGCGATTTCCCCTCCCCCCTCGGGATGCACGTTTTAAGTTATTAAAAAACGCTTCGGTTTTATCTCGCAGTACCTCTTCTTTCGTTTTCCCGAAATCGCGCGACGGAATTTTCTCTCGGGCGATTAAAAATGTCTGACCGTCTGACGGCCATTAGTCCGATCCGTTTTTCGGCGGTTTTTTTTTCATCGACATCGATCGAACGGAAAAAAAAATCCAAACGTTTATCGGTTTTTAACAACGCGGCTCGCAGCGGCGCCACTCCGCCCGACAACAACAGAATGTTATCGGCCCCGTAATTATGTTATTACCGTTGTTAGGTACCGTCGACGTTGTCGTTTTTATCGTCCGTTTTGCCGTTGTGCCGTGTACAGCACGCCTCGCCCTCGCCAAAGAACTTCTCTGTCGCGCGCCGAATTCTCCGTGCACGGAGTGATGCCCGTTCGGCGTTTCGACGTCGTTGAAGTCCGGTGGTCCGGGCCATTCGCTCGGACGTTTCCCCGTAATTCTCCACGCCGCCGCCCCGAGGCGTTTGAGACGATCCGGCGATTTCCCGTCGCCGGACGTGCGCCCGACGATCGTTTCGTTTTCCATTTCGCAACGGCAGTGCGACGGCCACGTTTCTCTGTTCGCCCGTCACCGCCCCCGCGTAGACAGCGGCGTCGACAGCGCTCTGTCCAGCTCGCCCTCGCCGTTCTACACCGAACCCTGCGTCCCCGTCGAAACGGTACGGTGGGATTGGGTTGGGTCAGGGCCGAACCCCATCGAACGGTTTTACGCCGGTTCGCCGTCGGCCGGGTGAGGTTTGGCCCGGGGACCGTCGTACCGCGGTGTCCGGAGAACCCGTCCGAATCGAAAACACTCGCGCGGGTACTCGAACGCGGGCGGGCGATGCGATTTCGGGGCGGTAGACGGGGGGAGGGCGGGCCGAGTTCTCGAAATTGTCGGGGGGAGGGCGGGCCGAGAGCAAGACGCGGTTCCCGCGGTTCTGCGCGCTCGGGTATCGCGGCACAGGAGTTGTGGCCGCGTACGCGGGAAAAACCCGGCCGGGGCGTCGTATAAAAACGATAGTAATAATAATAATATAACGTGACCGCCGTCAGTCGGGCGTCGCGGCTGACTCGTTCGAGCGCCTCCGCGAGTTTATTGCCCGCCCGGTAAAATCGCGCCTCGGTTCGCGTTCCCGCGAATAATCGTATTCCGCCGGGTCGGGCGAAATAATTAAAAAAAAAAACCCCTACCGTTCGTCGTGTCCTCGTATATCCGTCGCGTTTTGCGGTCCACGGGCCTCCCGTCCGGCGGCCGCGCGTTACACGAGGTTGTTGTATTGTTAACGGAACGCGAAAAACCCGCGAGCGTCGTCAGTCAGTGCGGGCCGCGAGCGAGCACGGGAGTTTCGGGTTGCGGAACAGCGATCGCCGCGGTGCGGGGGTGGGAAGAGAGGGCGGGGGGAAACCCGGAGAAATGACGAAAAATAAAAACCGACCGTTCACCGAGCCGAAACAAATACTCTGCGCAGAGTCTCCCGCGAGACGCGTTAAAAAAAACAGTCGTCGCGGCGTCGGCGGAATTACGGACATTTCGTGACACGAACATCGCCCCGTGTGGCCCCGCTGTCCGGCGACACCGGTACCGCCGAATCCGGACCGACGGGTCGGCTCGTGCGTCCGGATCGAATCCGACAATGAGCGCTGAGACGATAAGTCCCGGCGGACTGATTCCTACCGCGGATTGGTGTGCGTGTTTGTGAGCATTGTTCAGCACTACTCGGCACCGTCCGGTACGCGTCTGGGTCGCGGCCGTTCGCGGCTTACACGCGCAGTACTTCACGTCCGCGCGCATCGTCAGCCCTCCGTAACAACTAT